TTCTGTTTCGCTTACTATTTCCTGCAAGCGTCTTTTCAGAATGACAGTTGCAGGAGAAAATAACCTTAACCTAAAATTTACGGACGCACCTTTGTTGGTTTCTCGTCTTCCTCTTTCTAACTTTTTAAGTTCTTCAGGCTTGTAATATCTGCTTGATTTACTATCATTTCCGGCACCTCCGCGATAGCTTTTATTACTATATTCCTCAACATTGCGATCTCTACCGTTAAGCTCTAATGTTCCCTTCTTTTCAATGTTCTTCCGCTTATTCTTGCTGTTGTTTTCATGAGACGGCTCTTTTGTTCTTTGGTAGGTATAGCTAGTTGAATTGTACGCATATCCATGCTCATTATCAGTGCCTTTAAATCCTTGGTACTGAGCGTTCCTATCATTCCCACTGTTAGGCATTGCCCATGGCTTGAATTCTCGGTCATTGTTCATATCTTTGAATTTTTTCGTTGAGGTTGCACCAATCGCTTCAGCACTTCCCACTGCGGTATCCTCATTAACCGCAGGTTGGACACTGCTACGAATGACATTGCCATCTATACACCGACATATCAACAGTAATACGGCTATCACAACCTTCATTGGTAGACGCAGGATGTAAATGAATGATATGCACCTTGGTTTAGCGCTTTTATAGACTGAATGAGCTTTGGAATATGGTATCATCCTGATAAAATGTAAGGTGCTAGGTAGTTTTTTTGTTAGTTGCTATACTAGCCTGAAAGCAATCATATTCAGCATGCACATACTTTCTAAGTGTTAGATTTCAGGAACAAAAATAGAGAAGGTGTCGTCGTTTCTACTAACACGTTTGACATTTAGACGTGGCTTCTCAATCAGATGCTTGCATAAGTCAGTTCTTTCAACTCATTTATTTAACACCAAATCCACGAGGTACAACGTTTCTGGTTACCTAAGAAATGCGTGAAGGTCTTTTCAGGCCGACAAACCTAAGTTTGAGCGCAATTGTAGACAATCTCGGGATTCACGAAAGTAAGAACGATTATTGAGCATTTGTGAAAGAGTTGCTCATTCTTGCCATTCCAGTGCACAGCAAGAAGCCTATAGCGTGTTCGAGTGTGATTCATTCTTCCGTCCTCAAGAGATACATTGGCATCGATCACGTCTTCGTGATATATCCTTTTTTATTTAACGGCTTTTACGAAACCTCTAGCCAAAATTCATTCTGCATGCGGGAGCTCTTTGGCACCGGTCTTGGTATGGAAATGCATCCTTGCGCATTCCAACTGATCAGACCTTGGCGGCAGGCTTGAAATCGTTTTTGGGGAGAAAAGAAAAGAGAGATCGTACGGGGTCCGGGATCCCGAAAAATCGATTTTTCGTCCCGTATCCGCCTTACCCAATTACTCATGATAGCAACACTAGTGGAATTCAATCAATAGTCACCGTAAAATAGGAAATCGTTTATTTCATCAGAAATTTGGTGTTGCACAAGGTGGAAATGCAAGCTCTTGCAGAATTCACTCTCTTATTTGAGATATACTTATTTTTCTAATCAAAACCAAAATGCAGGCTATTCAGCCATAGAGATATGTGGACGATCTTCTTGTAATTCACAACCAGTAACGAAAATATTCTTGTATATCTCAAAAAAACTAGTAATGACATTTTATAATCTACATATTTAACAATAACGAATATTTTTCCTAGATCTCATCATTGTAACTATCAGCAACAAAGTTGTTACTCAACAGTATAACACTGATAATTTTTCTTCGAAGTGAATCGTTTTGCGCATGCACATTCATTGGTAGGTATCAACATAAAAGTTTGCGTTCTCTACAGTGAAATTTTAAGAATCGAACATGTAATATCTTCAGCTTCAGAGATAGATTGCAACTTATTGACCAACCTTTTGGATTAGCTACATATCCGGTATCATTTGCAATTGTAAAATGTTTGTTTACAATAAATGCATGAAATCAAAACATCTCAAACTTCATTTTTTAAAAAACACTTTTTCTTTTATTGAAAACTTGCTTGATAGTATCGAATTTTGATTTTAAACCTTTAGGTATCAATGATCTTCTTAAACTTTATGTATCTATCACTTGACAGTTCGCCCACCACCCCTTCAAAGACACTGTAAAATCTGCCCTGCTGGCCTCGTTATATCCCCTCTCTAGTGATAAGCCTCGCGAGTAGTTCACCCATCACACTTGACTGTATAGGAGTAGGTGGGGGGAACAGGCAATACTTTTGTCCAAACTCACAGGTTTGCTCCAGGGCTTAAATGCGCACTTGCGCAGGAAATCAAACTACACCAATAACTTACTTCAATCGTTTTTCTAAGCGCATAGCTATTGAACGTCCTCCAACTTTGAGAAAAAGATGCGCAAAGACTTCAAAGAATTTATGCGAGACGAGATCTTTGAAGATCTATGAGAAGAGAAAAATGCCGTATCTTTTTGTGATCTACTCTCCAGCGGAGACCTATAAGAAACCTTAGGTCTCCGACTAGAAACATTTTGTTCCTCATAACTTTGCTTTCCTTATATCAAACATTTTTTATGCATCCCTCAAATTATAAGGTAATGACCAGAGCACTTTATATCGTTTTACCTCAAAGAGGAAAACACCTCAAGAAACCGTGCTGCAATACTCATCCTGTGCAAGCTTTTCTTCTGGTCTCAAAGGAAGCTTCATAACTTCCTGAATTCTCAGGAGGGTATTCTTTCTCATAAGCTCCAACTGGAGACCCCGTGCCAAGGCCTGCAACTACAACATATGGTTGAAGTCTTTGTCGCAGTTTGACACAAGATCTTTGCAACGTTGAAACCAGCTCTTTTGTTGCAATATTCACTAAGACATCACTCTCTAAATGTCCTTGGACCAAACATTGTATACTACAACCACTTTGTTGGATACAAACGTTAGTCATGGAATAACTTCAAGTGAAATGTGGTGTCGCGTTTATTTCCCTTGGACCTGAACAGAGTAAGTAATGTTCCTTATCGCTATTCTAAACCCTTTCTCCTTCACCACTATTGTAGCAATGATCTGTATTCCGCGGATAATCGCGCATCTACAGAAGAAGGAGCAGATGTATGTAGAAGTTTCTTTTCCGTTCCTGAGTTGCCTTTCAAACATCGTTCGGCTCATAACTAGCATCAATCGCTTTTC